AAAGAAAGAAAGAAAGAAAGAAAGAAAGAAAGAAAGAAAGAAAGAAAAAGAAAATCTCTTGCTTTCTGATTTCATGAAAGTTGTGAAGAAGATTACCTTCAGGTGCAGTGAAGACATTAACAGCCCTACTGAACCCGAGCATTCGGCAAATCACATTGCCAGAATTCACATTCCAATGATCATCACAGATGGTGCCCCACTGTCCTTTATGTAGAATCTCCACACGGCCACGGTTGTCTTGTCCTACGAGTCTCAGGAAAGCCCCGAATCCTGTAGTTTATTTGCATATGTAATTTCAAAAGACAACGGCAAATCGCATTAAGGGTTTGATTACATCAAGTGTCCCTAAAAAAGAACCTTTGTACTCCAGCTATACCTCTGTGATTTTCCACATCTAAAGGATGGTTCAGTATAAACTCTCTTAGAGGGAAATGGTGGACTTTAACTAGAGCATTCTCAGCAAATCCTGAAACTGATGCTTCATAAATTTATTTTGGTGTTTGCAAATTTTGACTTTGTTTCTTAATATTTGCTTCTTTACTAAACCTGATCCCGCAGGTGACCACCTAGTTCACCTGTATGCAGAGGTGGGCTGCTGATGGTTCGCAGGGGTTCGAGAGAGCCCCTAGTTAAGATTCTGTGCAGTTTGAAGAACCCCCATATCCCACTCCTAGCTGGCTCCAGCTACCCCACATCTGCCCCTCCCAGAAGTCCCCCATGCAGCCTGTTTTGGATGTAGGTAACTGCAGGTACACATGGAGGCTTGGGGTACACGAAAAATGGGCCTCCCAGAAGTTCGGGAAGACTGGAAATGGGCCTGTTTCCGCCTTCCAGAGAGCCTCTGGAGCCCGGGGAGGCCATTCTCACCCTTGCAGAGGCTCGAGGAAAGCCTCTGAAACCCTGGGAGGGCAAAAAAGCCCCCCACCCTGTGGTGCAGGAGGCCGATTAGACCCCACCCACCATGGCCACACCCACCCAGCAACCAAGCAGAGAACCCGTTGTTAAAGTTTTGAAGCCTACCCTTGCCTATATGGATTAGCCACTCCTGGCAAAGAATAGCATAACACTAAAAATTAGTTAGGCCCTGAAAACAACTCCTGGATTAAAATGTAGGAATACAAAGGATAATGAGCACAAATATCTTTTCTAACAAAAGGATTGCATCGTATTACTTATCTATAAGTCCTAATACAAAGGATACTATCTCTGTTTTGCCTACTTCTGGAATAGGCACAGCTGTATGTATTTTTTTAAGCTATTGCTTGCTCTGATGCTAGATAAAGGAATACAGCTTATATGGAGCTCCAAGTGTTCAAAATTTTTTTACAAACTGTTTGTTGGGAATAATTTACCTGAGATGCCCCTTTCACCTTTAGAACCTTGTGCTCCTCGTGATCCTAGTTTAAGGGAATTAACACAACAAGGGTTAATGAAACATCCAGATAACTTGTGTATGTTTTTTTAAAAAAAATCATAAATGAAAGCAGAATCAGTATACCATGGAGTTATAAATGAATAAAATAAATACAACATGCACCAGAAAGATATTATCTGTCCTACTTGTGTGTCACAATGTCAAAGGCATAACTATCGCATGAGTTCTCATAGACTCATAGTGCCCAAACACTTTGGTCTTAGGACCATTTGTTAAATTATTTTTTAATTTAATTTTTAAAAATAAAATGATGGAGGACCCTGAAAAGTTTGGTTTGTGTGGGTTATGCCTATCAATATTTATTAGAAATTAAAACAGAGTAATTTAAAAATATTTATTTGACTTCATGGACCTCTTGAAAGTGTGTTGTCCTAGAATTGATTTTTGTTACTTCCTTTCTTTGCTACTACCAGAATAGGCTAATTTTTCCACATGTAGGAAACAACAAAGTTGTAGAAGCAGCAATATAGAATCTTCATAGTGGCTTTCCATTAAAGATCAACCAAACAAGGCATATGGGGTAATCCAGTAGCTTCAATAAAAAGGAATTTAGAGTGGGTTGCGAGGGATCATGAGTGCTCTTTGGCTATAATTGCCTGTAATAATTTAAACATGATCAATTCATATTCTGCCCAAACAAAATGCAAAGTTCATATGCATTTGATTATACTGTGTATTTGTGCAAAATATTGACGTTGGTTTTTGGAATTTACCTGTATCTCCCTTACTACCTTTTTGACCTTGATCACCCTTTTGTCCTCGTGGACCTGGGAGAAGAAAGAAGAACTACAGGTTAAAAAGTCTTTGGAAGCTAAAGTTTCAGCATGCTATTTGCAGCTCTTTCAGGTGAGTCATTGTTGACTAAAGATGTCTCTACAAACAGCAGAGAGTGGGACTGCTATGAAGAATTGGCAAGTAGACCAGTCCTTTGGAAACTCTCTGGAGAAGAGCAGAAGAGGAGATTATTTACAAGCTCTGAATGGCAGCTCCTTCCAAAGGGATTGTAATACTCTATTTCAAAGATCTTCAAACTTGGAAAAGTTTAAGACTTGTGAACTTCAACTCCCAGAATTCCTGAGCTAACATGACTGGAGGAGGAATTCTGGGAGTTGAAGTCCACAAGTCTTAAAGTTTGAAGACCCCTGCCCTATTGAATTGAGCGCCTCAGTTGTAGCAGCACCTTTAAAAAAAACATTAAGCTACCTATGCTCACATTGTAAACATGTTTGTAGATGATCCGCTTAACTATGTCATGGGTATTAGAGACTTTCAAACTGGCAAGTTTAATTTGACATCTGGCGAGTTTGACTTACTTTCTTTGATACAAGGACTTTTTTTTAAGACCTAAGAGTTTAAAAACACTATATAATTGACATTCAGAAAAGAAGATTTTTTATGTAAGAAAATTATAAATTGAACTGGAGACCAGAGGAATATGGACTTCGATAATATTATTACAACAATAAAAGCCCATAGTATTTGCTTACCTGGAACTTGACTTACTGCTCCTGCCTCCCCTTTTTCACCCTTTGGGCCAGGAGCTCCTGGTGGACCCACATTTCCAGCAGCTCCTGTTAAGCAAATCAAAGGGTGTGATAGCAGACCAAGTGTGAAGGAAGAGTTGCACATTGTGTACAAAGAAAGGTGTGCTAAGAACCATCCTTTTTACTTGGTAAGAAAAAATTACTTAGTAATAGAGCAGGTATGCCCTGAGACCAGGACATTCTGGATCAAAATTAAAAATTGGCTACAGGATATCACGGCCTATCAAATTGAACTCAGACCTACTAGGAATCATCAAAGTTCAACTTCCCAAAAAAGTAAAATATTTAATATTACATATCTTAACAGCTGCCAGGATAGCTTTTGCACAAATGTGGAAAACTCCCAATATACTCAGCGAAGAACTAGTCCAACCAAAAAAATAATGGAAAGTGCTGAAATGAATATGCTCACATTGAAAATGAAAGAGAAAGAAGATTCTGAATATTTTTCAATTTGGCATAAATAGTACGAATGGGTAACGAATAAAAATAAGAAATAAGATGTAAAAAGTAATCTGTAAGAGACCTTAAGAAAGTGAATTGTAAATATGTAAAGTATATAAGAATATAACTATTGATAAGGGTATTAATTAGATGTCAAAATGCTGTTGAAATTATGATGATTTGAGTTGTAATGATGGAAATACAATAAAATATATTTTAAAAAAGTAATAGAACAGCTATCCTGATCATGTGCTGTCAAAATATTTTGAACGACAATTCCTAGACTTTACAACCACTGTGTCTAAAAACCAGGCCAACATTAGTCATGTAAACTGAGGCTTCAGGAAGTTATAGATCAGGAGATATATAGACGATAGGTAATCCTTGATTTATGGCTGTAATTGAAGCTAGCAGTCATCAAACAGGTCAACAAGTGACTATGCCCAATTTTACAATTTCTTTGTGGTTAAGTGAATACCATGGTCATTAAATGAACACCACAGTTATTAAATGAATGTGGCAGTTGCTAAGTGAACCTATTGTACCTGGACACCATAAGAAAATGCTGGTTTCCAGCAAAAAAAAATTGTAATAAATTCCAGTCACATGACTGCAGGACACTGGAAATAGCCATAAATGCAGGCCACTTGCCAAGCGCCCCAAATGGAATCACATGACCAAAAGGGGGCATTCATCAGAACTTTGAAACCCAGGCTGTAAGTAGCTCTGGTGGGCGGGGGGGTCCATTGTAACATCAAACAGTTGCTAAGCAAGTGGTTATAAATCAAGGATTACCTGTACTAGGTTATGCCAGTAGATGCAGTAGATGATTTTGTTCTGTAGATTTGTACCTTTTATTCCACGTTAGAGATTGCAGGCAAAATCTGCTCTTACTGTCAATCTGCTGTAAGCAGCTTTGTTTCAAAAGGAAATGCAGAAAACGGCCACTGTAGCCTGCCTTGTCTTTTACTGATTCAAATCACCATGAATAGTTCCTTGCTGATGGCAGTAAGAACAGTTTTTGCCTGCAAATCTATCATATGGAATGGTTTTAGAAGGGATAAGGCCACAGAGACTCAAAGTTCATTTTTACCATTTGGGAGAAACTCAGTCCATTGATTAATGTGGAAGAAGGCCCAAACCCCTTAATAAATTGATAATTGCTCATGAGATAGAAAGAGCTGATCAATGAAAGAGGAGAAAAAAAGGGAAGAAAATCTGCAAATACACTTTTAAAGTATACAATCTGATGCCAAATGAGAAAAGCAGTAGTCACTCCCTTTTTTAGGAACAACATTGTAATTACATCTAGCAATTTCAGCAAAGACTTCTCTATATTATGTGTTCTCAGGAGTCAAATTATTTCTAGGGGAAAAAATTAGTTGCTCTTGTTTTAGTATTTTCTAATAGGTATAAGTCCTTTTGACTTCTGCATGTCTTATTGCCTAGTCAGCATGCTTTGCTGTGCAGTGCAAGCCCATGGATTTTCACTCAAAATTAACCTCTGTTAAAATCAGCAACATTTACTTCCAGGAGGTGGGTGAGACTATCATACTCCTGAACATATCTACAGTGTGTAAGAATAAATGCTACTACATGTAAGGAAATTGACTTCTGGTAAGTATAGGGTTATAGTGTTGGAGAATGTTTGTGTCAGGGCATAGGTGATAAGAAGGGCATTTCAATTGCATTTACACAACATTGTTTACCTTTATTTCCTTGTGGTCCAGGAAGACCGCTGTGACCCGGCTGACCTGAAAGAGAAAATAATATTTCCATGTCTATATGTCGGAGTGTGTTTCTATAAGTGAAAGGAGATTCTTTGGGTGTTATGAACATGACATACGGAATGATGCCTTATATAGAAAATATAGTCCAATCAGCATTACTGGATGATTTCTGGTGGGAGAGGGATGGAGGTGATGCACCCATTCTTGGTCTTCTTGACTTCTCAGAGGCTTTCAATACCATTGATCATGGTAACCTTTTGGGCCAACTTAGGAAATTGAGGATAACTGGCACAGTTTTGTGCTTTATTGAGTGCTATGGGACTTAGTGCTCTCTGCTCCTTTTTGACATCGACATGAAACTGCTGGGTAACATCATCTGCCACCACGGGATGAAGTATCACCAATATGCTGATGGTATACAGTAATATATTTCCACTCCAGGTAAAGTAAGTAATGCTGTGGATATTTTTTCATAGTGCCTAGAAACTGGGGACCTGGATGAGGAACAATTGACTTCATCTGAACTCTAGTAAGTCAGAGTGGATGGGCCCCTCTGTATCCAACAGTTTATTATCTTTGATCTTAGATGCATTGCACTACTTCAGACAGGCCTGGTACATAATCCGGGTTCCTCCCTGGACTCATGGCTCCTGGTCAAAGAGCAGATAGCAGCCATGGATAGAAGGGCCTTTGTTCAACTTTGTCTTGTCCACCAGTTATATCTTTTCCTGGATAGGGAGGCCCTCTGTTTGGTCATTATAGTCTATTGCAATGCACTCTACACGGGGCTATCTGAAACATGGAACATCTTTGCTCTGTGAACTGCATTGGGTGCCAGTTTGGTTCCAAGTCCAGTTCAATGTGTTGGTTATGTAAAGCTCCACATGGGTCCAGCTTACCTATGGAACCATCTTCATCTGAATACTTTGGCCCATACCATGTAGTCAGGAAGAGAAGGTATGTTGTAGACCCAATCAGTTAAGGGATTCTGACTGGCAAGGTCTAAGAAGAGAGCCTTCTCTACCTTTCAGTTTTGAGTAGAGAGCCCAGAGGAGCACTGTGGGGCTGTTTGATGCCCTAACAGCCCCCCCCTTCTCCATTTAAAGTAATCTTAACAGCATTTAATCATCCCTGCCTTCTTCTAAATTTGTAATTGTTGTAAGCTGTTTTTATGGTTATACATTATATTGTACATCACCCAGAGTCCCTCTCTGAAGGAGATGGGCAGTTTAAAAATGTGAAAAAATAAAATATAAATTTAAAAACAAGAATAGGAGAATACACTTTGAAACTTGTAGAAAGATTGTAGGGATGTTTTTAGGGATGAGTAAAACTACCAACTGGATTATAGTTCTAGAATGTCAAATGAAGCACTAATGCCTTGAGTGGAAGACTAATGAAAAACATTAAATCATCATGGGTATTGGTGGGAGAAAAACAATTTGAAAAATCAATTATTGAAAAGTCATAAGGCAGAAACTAAAGGACAGCAAATGATATTAGAATAAATTATCCCCATGATAAGTACTGTATATTCTATACATATGTCTTAAAAGAAAAATAGTGCCCCTCTTAAGAGAGATTTCTCCAACTCAGGTGTGCTATGTTGCTTTAATCCTCAGTAGTGGCTGAGAATGGACTGAAGAAATATATAAATCTGAAGGACACCAAGGCTGAGTTAAGGAGTAGAAACAGGTAAAGTTGAATACTGTGTAAGTGGTATTCCATCTATCCAACAGAGCCAGTAAATTGTATAGTGTATAGTGGTTAAGGCACCAGGGCTAGAAAGCAGAAGACAATGAGTTCTAGTTCTATGTTGGCACACAGTCAACTGGATGACCTTGGTCAATCACTCTCAACTCTAGGAAACAGGAAAGGGCAAACCACTCCCCCAAAACTGTCTCTATCTTCTTACAGAGACAAGAAGAATTAAACTACAGGGACTTGTTTAGGCATCAACATTGACTTGAAGACATTAAATAATAATAATAATTCATTCCATCCTTCTACCTATCTATTCAGCCTCAGGATTAGCTTTTGAGGGATTGTGTGGGGCTGCAGCAAGAGATAGTGGAATTTACCCAGTGCCCATCACCTGACAGAATGAAGTCTACGAAAATGATCATTTGGATGTCATGATTCTAAAGCATAATAAAAACATTTTGTCAAATTAGGAGATGGTTGGAATGACCTCAAACTGCCAGAAGACCTCTGCTGTTCCCAGTTCTATTTCACTCTATGTGGAAGATTTGAAGATTGGGTTTTCCTCCACTCCATGTGTTGTAGCTCTTTCCTCTATTAGGTCACCATATTTTCTTACTTCCCCCCTCCAATTAATAAAGAAAACAGGAAGGACCAGCTAGTCAAACAGTCTAAAGATTGCTAAGAAAGAAAGAAAGAAAGAAAGAAAGGAAGAAAGAAAGAAAGAAAGAAAGAAAGAAAGAAAGAAAGAAAGAAAGAAAGAACAGAACTGTTAAAATATGGCTGACTATGGTTTGTTTGTTGTCTGAGTAGTTGCTAATTGAATTATAATACTAACCCATAACATTTTCCCACTATTTACTTCTGAAAATAGTAAATGTCACCTAAACAATGAAAGTATAATTGAGTACTTGACTATCCTTTGTGATCTAAATATGACATTCAAGATAGCACTTGGTTGCTTTCACTTACCTTCCTGGCCTTGATTTCCCTTCTCACCCTTCTCTCCTGGAGGACCAGTTAATCCTCTTGGGCCTGTGATTCCTCTTTCACCAGGTTCCCCTTTGGATCCTGGTAAGCCTGTTTAGCAGGTTAAGCACACTAAATGTAAAGGCAGAAGTTTTCTCATGTGTATAGTCTCTGATTAGTTTTCAGTTGTAACATCATCATAACACAACTAATTTGCTTACTATCTGCTTCACCAAGGACAATCACAGTCTAATCAATTAGCTCTTTCTATTAATGATGAAGCTGTATATCTTGTTTCTGGGTCAACAGGCACTTGAGATCATTTGTCATGTGAGTGATGAATTAAGACAGATTTTTCTCAATCTGGAGTTTCTACATGATTTAGAAGGTAGCCTCCATAACTCACAATGAGAATGCCAAATTAGCTAGAGCAGGGGTGTCAAACTCGATTTCATTGAAGGCCGCATTAGGATTGTGTTTGACTTCAGGGAGCGGGTGGTGGCAGAGTGGCGTGGCCAGGGTAGGTGGGGCCAACTCGATGTCACTCACATTGGGGGCACCTGGGGTGGCCCAAGTGCTCTGCCAGTGAAAATGGGATCCCGAGCTCTGTTTCCAGCTATGATGGTCTCCTGCAACCCTCTGGCAGCAAAAACGGAGCTCAGGAGGGCTCTGTTTTCACTGGCAGAGGCGCCATGGGCCAGTCCTTTGCTGTTTCCAGGGCAACCCAGCGGGCCAGATCTAAGCACTCTGACGGCCAGATCTGGCTCCTGAACCTTGAGTTTGACGGCCCTGAGCCGTTTTTTTTTTAAAAAAACTCAATTAAAAAATGTGCTAATTTTGGTCACAGAAGTGTTTTTACTTTAGGCTGAAACAATTACAACACATCTAACTTGCAACTTTTTTAAAAAAATCACAGCTGTGAGCTGGGGGAGTTGAGTTTTGGGTTTAGCTTGGTTGGATTTGGATAAATGATTGAACACAGTGTGGAACAGGGAACAAAGTGCTTGTCAAGCGGAGAGACATATAAGTAAATTACATAACATACATAAAATGTGCTGGAGGGGAGGTTATAATGTAATTTGGAAAAACTATTAGGAGAAAAACAATCATAGGCAAACTTAATTTGTCTATGATTTTCTTTCTAATAGTCATGACATTTCCTAAAAGTCAGAAGCAGGAATCATACTTTCATCAAATTGGTTGGATTTTATGATTTACCTTAATAACAATAATTATATTCGGAGTACTTCTTATATATGATAACTTTTCACATGTATAGTACTCGATTTAATTTACATGGTAGATTTTTTTTCAACACTGTATCTTTATGTTAATGTAATAGCTATCCATATTGTAATAAGAAAAATAAATAAGCTACGCTTCCTTTAAAAATGAACCTAAAAGAAATTAGGCCTTACTGATATCAGATGCAGATATCAGTAAGCCCCCCAAAATGATAGATGGCAGCAAAGAAATACAAGAAACTCTGCCATCTAGTGATAGCCTAGGTTTACAAACCAAATTTGGTAGCCTTAAGCTTGACAATCTATTTCCTGACTCAGGTAGCAAAAGCAATATCATAAGGTTTCTGGTGGGAAGCCATGCTACACTGATGGGTTCATTCTGTTTCATCCCCAGACTGTAATTTACACAGCCCTAACCCTACAAAATATCTGATATAACCCAGAGAATCAGGATAATAGACGAGAATATTTGTAACTCAGGGTTGAACTGTGGGGTCCTTGGTGCTCTCTGATTTTGATTGGTTTCTTGCAGACATTTCATATCCCAATTAGGTAACATCATCAATGGCAAGCAGTTGGGTAATGAAACACCTGCAGGCAAACAACCAATAGCAATAGCACTTAGACTTATATACCACTTCATAGTGCTTTACAGCCCTCTCTAAGCAGTTTTACAGTATCAGCAGATTGCCCCCAACAATCCGGGTCCTCATTTTTCTGACAAACTGGGTCCTCATTTTACTGCAGATGGAAGTCTGAGTCAACCTTGAGCCTGGTGAGATTTGAACTGTCCAACTTCTGGCAGCCGGCAGTAAGCAGAAGTAACCTGCAGCACTGCATTTTAACCACTACACCGCCACGGCTCTAAACCAAGTTCCAGAGCACCAAGAACCCACAGAATCAGGCTAGTTTATCATTCGCCTCTTTCTTTTGTCATAGCACCAGCAGAATTGCATTCCATTAAGAACAGGTAGGTAGAAAATATTTCTCACTTCAAAATGATAATAATTCGTCTTACCACGAGGTCCCATCTCCCCCATTTCTCCTTTCATTCCTGGTTCTCCTTTTAGTCCAGCAGGCCCAAGATCCCCTTTTGATCCCTTTTCACCATCTAGTCCAGAAAAACCTGATATAAAAGAGATGTGTGCATTTAATAATTATTTTTAATTGAGCCACCGTGCTGTGTCCAATACTGAACTGATTTCATCTTATTGGGATTCATGCTACAGTAGCTAGTCGCAGGGATGCAGCGGTCTTACAATAAACTTTGACTTGCTTTGCTGTGTTGTCATAGTGCAGGGGTGTCAAACTCAAGGCCTGCAGGCCAGAGGTGATATTCGGCAGGTTCTGACCAGTTCTGGAGAACTGGTAGCAGAAATTTTGAGTAGTTCAGAGAACCAGCAAATACCACTGACTGGAGATTTTACAGTGTCCTTCCCCTGCAACGCCCACCAAGCCACGCCCACAGAACCGGTAGTAAACATTTTTGAATCACACCACTGCTGCAGGCCGCATTCAGCCTTCAGGGTGCTTAGATCTGGTCCATGGGGCTGCCTTGGAAACAGCAAAAGACTGGCCTGCAGTGCCTCTGTCAGCAAAAATGGAGGCAGCCTTTCTGGCCTCCATTTTTGCAGGCAGAGGGCTACAAGAGGCCATCACAGCCAAAAACGGAGCCTCAATGAGTGATGTTGAGCTGGCCATGCCCACCCTGGCCATGTCCAGCCCAGCCCCTCAAAGTCAAACACAACCCTGATGTGGCTGTCAGTGAAATTGAGTTTGACACCCCTGTCATAGTTCCTGGCTTTCCCCCAAATGATAAATCATAAATCATAGCTTAACAAACCATGATGGCTCTGTTCACACCAAAGGCAAATCTATTCCCTAGCATGATATATGCAACAAGAATGGCCGGGTTTGTATCTGGTGTGCATGCACGGGGGCGGGGAAGCACGGGAAATGCATGTGCATGTGCAAAGGTATGTGGTGCATGGGGGGGGGGATCATGTGCACCTGTGCAGGGGAATGGGGGCCGTGTGCATTGCCTTCTGGGTACTGGCATGTGAGTTTAACCTTTGGCAAAAGGTTAGCCACCGCTGAATTATATGGCATCTGGGCACATAATTTCATGAGAAACTTCACATTATCTTTAATAATCTTTATGTCATCACTCCACTCTCCAAATTTGAATGGTATATCTTTGCATTGATGGTTGTGCAACTATGAATTAGCACAAGTTTGAAATGAATGTTACGCATTGGCTATACTAAAAGAAAGATAGAGATATTTGTTCAGTATTTGTAGCCATTACAAAATCACATATCTCTATAGTATGTATGTGTATGTCGATCTATCAGTCAGTCTGTCTTTCTGTCTGTCTGTCTCTTTGTCACTATCTCTCTCTCTCTCTCTTTCTCTCTCTATCTATCTATCTATCTATCTATCTATCTATCTATCTATCATCAACTGATCTATCAGTATCTCTGTTTTTCTCATCTACTATATACTAAAACATCTCTAAATGTCTCATTGACTGCACATTAGTAATAATGTGGCTTCATTTCAGCAAAATGGCCTTGCTGGTTTTATTTCAGTCTTGACATTGGAAAATGCAGTTGCTCAAGTTATATGTATTTAGATCAACCTTTCGAAACCTTGATATGGTCTACAAACAGAATTGCTGGAAAATATGTAGGGGTTCAAGGCTTAAAAGGACCGAGTTAGACATTTGGAGGATGGGAGTCATAACTTTGGAGGATAAAAGGAGTTCCAAGTTTCGATACATGATTATCTCTGACTACAAATAGGTCTGGGAACCAAGGGCAGCCCAAGACATTTCATTCTATGAATTGGGGTAGAACATGGTACCTATGCATTGTACCCAAGACTTACCAGTGTTTTCCCCCATGTCCCCCAATTAAGAAGATCTTGAAAGGCCCTATCCTAATTCCTGCTGTAAAAATACACTGATAATATAATAAATAATTAACTATATGTTCCTTTTTTAAACTAGACTCTTCAGTCACCATCATCTGATCCCTGTCTTGCTCTGGAACTTCTCTGAACTTCAGTCCACAACTGAATCATGTTAGACTAGACTTCCCTGGTCTGACAAGTGCAAAATAAGTGATATTGAAGGATCTCCCAGGAGAATCACTTTAAGAAAAAGAGTTTAAAGGGAAAAATTCAGTCACCAGCATGACATAGACTACCTCGTAAACCTTGCTCTCCTTTTGTTCCATTTGGTCCCATGGCTCCTATAATCAAAATATAGAGGAAGAAAAATAAATGTGAAACAAGAAGTGTCAACGAAATTAAACTGTACTTGAATTTCAGCGTCTGATTCCTTTATTACCTGTATCGCCTTTTTCTCCTGGGGAACCAGGAGATCCTTGTATTCCTGGAATTCCTGGATTTCCTGAAACATATACAGCATGCATTAAAATGCAACCTTATAGAATAGAATTCTTTATTGGCCAGACACACAAGGAATTTGTTTCTGGTGTGTAAACTCTCACTGTACATACAACAATAGTGATAGATCTATAGAATAGTGATTTATTCTCTGTATATACTAGGGATTAAGTATCACCAAGCTCTGTAGGATTTACAGTTGAGCAGAAACATATATCTATTTAGGTAGTCCTCAACTTAAAACCATCTCAGCTTCGTGATTTGAGATAAAGCATAGATGGGCCAGGTTTAAGAGAGATTTTGAATTCTGATTTAGAAATTATGTATGATGCTTAACAGAGGTCTCCTCTTCAAATTCATCAATGGAGAATATCAAAAAATTTGGCCACTGCCTGAGAAAAGAGACCAAGTGCCTTTCCTTTCTTTTTTCAGGGGCCAAGGAGTGGGTTCTTCTATCTTCCTTTGATCTTAAAATAAATTCATGGCATACTACCATTCTTTCACAATGGGTGGACCCTCACACACACACAAAGTTATAAATATTCCATACACATAGAGAAGTAGCTATAATGTACACTACCTTGTACATTGGCATGCATGAGTCTACATTCAGGGTTGTGAAAATATCTACAGGCCCCCTCACATCCTGGACATAAATTCTTTCAACTTCTATCCTCAAAACAATGATATAAGGCAGTGCACATCAGAACAACTAGACACAAAGACAGTTTTTCCCCAAATGCCATCACTCTGCTAAACAACTAATTCCCACAACACTGTCAACTTATTTACTAAGACCTGTATTACTATTATTCCTTTCATCCTTCTTAGTACCTATCTCTTCCCACTTACGACTAGAACCGTGTTGCTTGTATCTTTACCATTTATATTGTTTTATTTGTTTCCTAGATTTGATTGCTTATTAGTAACCTATGACTATCACTAAGTGTTGCATCTGATGATTCTGGATGAATGTATTTTTTTTCCTCTTTGTACACTGAGAGCATATGCACCAAAGACAAATTCCATGTGTGTCCAATCACACTTTGCCAATAAATAATTCTATTCTATTCTATTAGGCAACAACTGGTTCGGATGAAAGTCAATATCTTTCCATCATGCCAGAAGACCCATACAGTATTTTTCCCTCCTCCCCAATGCCTGATTTGTAGATTAATAAAAGTATATTCTTTCTGAGTCTCCCTTGAGATATCTTCCTGCAAAAAGTAGCAAAGATGCTTGAGTGCTGGAGGTGGCCTGAGCACCGAGATCTAGCATGTTGTCCTTCAGGATGAAGCCCAGGAATAGCCAAAAAGAAATTAAATCGTTCATATAGATTGGATAACACCCCTCTTGTCTTCACAGCACAGGGGCTCAGACTGCAGCTGAGGAATTACCAGGTTCTCCTTTGGGTCCAGAAAGTCCTATCCCTGAAAGAAAAAAAAAGGAAGGACTCACTCAGCTTAAAAAAAATCCAAAATGGAGTAATACCACCACCTCACCCTCAGCCCCCTGCTCAAAGATGGGGGTGATGGTTTTATTTGCTTACCATTTGTTCCTGGATTTCCTTTGACTCCTGTTAAACCAATGTCTCCTTTTTCACCTTTAGCTCCTGAAAGATACCCCAGTTGTGGGTTTATAGCAAATTTTATATGATATACTCTCGCCATAAATTATTCAAATTCAGCCCTCGAATCTGCCAGTTTCAAAAAATCACACATTGGCTGCCTATTTTGGTGGCCATTTCATTTCACACTGACTGTTTTTCAGCAATGAAACAGGTATTCATTATTCTAAGGAGCCCCGGTGGCGCAGTGGTTAGAATGCAATATTGCGGGCTGACTCTGCCCACTGCCAGGAATATGATCCTGACCAGCTCAAGATTAACTCAACCTTCCATCCTTCTAAGGTCGGTTTAATGAGGACCCAGATTGTTGGGGGCAATAGGCTGACATTATAAATTGGCCAGAGAATGTTGTAAAGCACTATGGAGAGGTGTATAAATCTAAGTGCTATTGCTATTAATGAATTTATAAAAGGTAGATCTGACTTTCTAACTACATTTGAAATGATAATTCAGGGTGGAGCTCAGGCTATGATTAATTCAGCTTAGGAAGCCATTTTGTTAGGATTAAGACACATGACTGTTCCTGACTTCATATCCACTCAGGAAGATAGTTAATAAGAGGGACAAGAAGTATATAGGCATGTAGCTTATAAATGGATCAGAGTTGTTATATTCAAACTGGGTCGATGCTCTAAATTCAGAACTGAGTATTTGAAAATGAGACCTTTATTACCTTGGTCACCTTTTATTCCTGGAACTCCTCTTTCTCCTTTGGGACCTGAATATGAAGAAAAGCAGATTCTTATTTTTATGATGGTCTTCAAAGTTTCCTCTCCTTCTCTCTTTCTCTCCCTCCCTCCCTCCCCCCAGCTCTCTCTCACACACACAGACTCACTCACTCACTCACAAATCAGCATCAGAAACCAGTCTAAAGGGCCACTAAATTTATATGTTACTACAACTGGCGCATTTTCATCGCTGGAGGTGAGTTAAGGGTAAAATTCAGATAGTATCTGTTTTGGGGTGAAGGGAATGTATAGTCATTGCCCCTAATCTTCCACCATGTATTCATCTGGCAGGAGATCTGAAGTGCCTACATGTACAGAAATTGTCTGCTCTCAGACTTCATATATGTAATAATGGGATACATCTACCAGGCCCATCTTAACAGCATTATGGCCCCTGGCCCATGGGCAAAGCAGTGTACTGGGGCCCCTATGATACTTACTCACAGGAATAAAAATGTAAATGGTCGATAAAATTAAACATATATTTGCATGTTAGTATTAATTTTAAAATGCAGTAAAAAGTAATAAATGCATGTCTGTATTTATATGATACAAGGTGCAATGAAGGGTTAACATACACAGATTAATAATGGGGCCCCTATGCTCGTGGGACCCACGGGCAAATGCCCATCAGGCCCATGAATTAAGACAGCCCTGCCATCTACTCAAGTGTCCAGCTATCCAAACCAGCCTATTTGCATCAGGGATAGGTGAATCTGTCAGTTCTGATTACTTTCTGCGTCTAATCTTGCTCCTTTCATTCCTTGTATTTGTTCCCGACAATTTCTGCATCTAACTGCTTTTCTTTAATCCACATGAAAATTCATGTGCATTTGCTTGCACATTTCTCCCAGAATATCTATTTCATGCAAGAGACGTATTTTTGGAAAATGAATTTCCTTAATATGATTTCTTTAATTTTCTTAGTTGGCCTTTTCTTTTTATATTATTTCCATTAGCCTATCCATTTTCAAATACATTTTTTTTAAAAAAAACTTGCATGTGTATTCCTGCACTGCAAATTGGATAATAGGATTAGTTCTCCTTTTCCTTTTACAAATAATGCACAAATACAGATTACTGCTGATTTCTGTGGATCCATCCATCAATGGTGTTCAGCAGGCTCATTCTCACAATCCCTGATGAATTTGGAAATACAGAAATGAACAATTTAGTAGCCATACTTCAAATGAATGCTGTAGAGCAGCTGGTCTTGCCTACTTTGCTTGCTAGAACTCAGATGTGCATTTGTTGTTTATAGAATATCATGTGATTTTAGTTGCTTTCAGATATTTTATAGGAATTAAGCTGGACCCAATAAAGGAAAATATTTGTAACTCAGGGTTGAAATGAGGGGTCCTGGGTGCTCTCTAAGGTTGCTTTAATTTACTTAGTTGGGATAATGAAACATCTGCAAGTAAACAAGCAAGCTGACAGAGCACCAAGGATCCCTCAATTAAGTTGGAGCAATAAATGAAAGAATAGAAAGTGATTAGTTACCTACCAGGAGGTCCTCCTTGAGTCATGTTGCTTTTAATTTGGTCTGAAAAAGATATTAACATCTGTTGGAAATAGCATAAGTCTGTAACTAAAAGCAAAATAGGGGGTGTGCATAAGCTCACCAATCGTGCCTACAATCCCTGTCCTATTGTTTCTTTTTATTTTTCTTATAAGTATCTAACCCATGTATTCAAAACTATGTTTATTCTTATACCTGTATCTTGTAAGCGATTGACAAATCAGATAAATACTAAATACTAAAAAAGCATATTCACACGCTTATTATCAAGCTACATAGCTACTCCAGACGTAAACCCTATTTTAATATTTCTCCAGTTATGTGCAGCATTACTGTTTTCAACATTCATGTGGTGTTTATGACCTTTTCCTCATTTTGTTTTCATGGATTACAGTACAATATGAACATTTGTAGCATTTGTTTGAATTCCACTCTTTGAAATATCAGTATCATTCCCATGCAAAACAATTAACAATTCCTTTCTAATTTCCTTATTTCAGTTTCATTCCAAACCATTCCATCACTTTATTGGCCATGACATTTCCAAGATGTTCAGAAGGGCCTTCTGGGTATTTATAGCAAGATCAACAGATTTCCACCCAATTACTGCAGACTCTAATAGGTTCAACACCTTTCATCAAGCTACAAGTCTACATGAAGAAGAAACAAACGAAATACAGACAGGTTGGCATATAATCAGTGTAAAAAGTACTTTTTGGTCTTTGCTAAGGTGATTGAAAGGGATGACACCCAATCCCAAACAGCAGTACTGGAGGGGCTAGTGCATGTTAATGTGATTATTCTGGTGGCCTTGCTGTGAGTGACAGCAATAGCAATAGACATGCTTCAGACAGTTTTCTGAATGTTGCTATGTAGCTATGTGACTGACTTTACATGCTATTTAATCCAACCCAGATCATAATCCAACACAATGCCCCAGATCAATGATACATCTGTCAGCTCTATATCCGTCAGCCTGGTAGACCAAACAGGAAACATGACCAGATAATCTAATTCTACTTTATTGTAAATCTACACAATCTGAAGGTAGAATTCTCCTGTTGTCTCCTTTACAGCCTGAAAAACTAAAACCATAGAAGAGCCTTTCTGAATCTCTTGCCTCACCCACTATCCAGCTGCAGGCTATGCTGTCTCCTATCCTTAGATGGCATCACTTTGTTCTATCTCCCAAGGTCTTTCCCACATATCATTACAACATCATAGCTTCTACACCAAAATGATGAAAGCACCAAATTGGATCCTTCCTTCCACCCACCCACCCATCCATGATCACTAGCAAATGATACCTGCTTTTATGTAAATACTCTGGTCATCTTCAGCATAAATTGGGAGTGTTGGAAAGGTCTTGATCGGAAACCTTTGAGATTATAATAATTGTACATTTGCTTCACAGAAAAAAGTCTATACAGAATTTGATTTTAATGGTTTAATGGAGCAAATTTATTTTTTTATATTCAAGTTCTTGTCCATGAACTCTTGCAAAGGAGCAAAGGGAAGAGCATAAACAGAAATGTTCCCTGAATTATAAATGTGGCATTTGAATAAAGGAATCCATTCTATTTTGTATACAGCATTCAAAATACTTAATATGCACAGTAGGAGGATGGACAAAACAAAATAAAACTGCATTCAGATTACGTGAAGCTAGGATGTACCTGTAATGTTTGCCATTTCCCACTGTAGATGTTGGTTGCTCAATTTCATTACATGAATTTCATGTTTTAAATTGTGGATCCAGTTTTCTTGACCACTCTGAGCATTGATTCCAAAAAAGATCTCATTCTCCATGGTGACATTATTGACAAGATGATTCATTATCATTGCTTCTCTGGCTTCTTTCATGTTATTTATAAATTTGTGCATTGTATAAACTAAGAAAAATTGAACAGAAAGTAATGAAATGGCTAAAGTTTATTCACCATTACCCAAACGTGCTAATTTTCTAAGTTAAATGTTCATTTTTCTACATAGCCCGGGGAGAATGTAAAATTAGGTGAAGAACTTTCCTGGTTTAACTAGATCCTACTATCTTGTCAGGGAGCCTTGTTCTCATGTTTTAAATGTTATCTTGAAGTTGTAGAAATAATAATATTTTGTGAAAACTCTCATCAGGATGTGTCCTTCCATGCCATATCTAGCCAAATCACTGGTCTATTGCTATTGTTAATGTTACATAAAACACACCAAACCAATTATTGTAGCAGGATCCTATTGACTCTTTCACATTTCTATGACATGGAAGATACAGAATAATTCAGATTCAAGCCTTTTCAATATTCATGTTTTATTCTTTCACTTTAATTAATAGGTAACTATTTGCTACTTCAAAGTTAGTGTTTGAAGGTAATATATTGCTTTATGCAATACAATTTAATCTGATATTTAAAAGTGGCAACTGTGGTATTGGCAAAGCAAGAAAACATCAACTATGGACATTCTCTTTGGAATGGTACGTTCATTTCCAAAGGGACGGGGCTGACCAGAGACTTCATTTATTGGGATATGTGTTTTCTAATGTTTCACCTAGTTAGACAGTGTCATCAGCACAGGGGACATGAGTTTGGGCAGACTCAGGGAGACAGTGGAAAACAGAGGTGCCTGGCATGCTGTGGTCCTTGGGATTGCAAAGAGTAAGATTCAACTTAGCAACTGAATGACGACAGCAAAAATATTTTTTCAAAGAAATTGAGTGGAAGTGAAAGATTTTCCAATCTGGTGATCACTTCAACATTAGAGGGTAACTTGTATGATTTTCCCAAATCCTTTCTCCTTGTCTTTTTTCTATACTTTAATGTCCCACTTCCTTTTTCTTCCTTCCTTCCTTCTCTCTCTCTCTCTCTCTTTCTTTCTCTCTCCCTCCCTCCCTCCTTTTCTCAATGTAAGGATGAAAGAAAAAGGGAGAAAAACATCTGTGGTTGCCACAAGTAGAAAGCAAATTGACAGCACATAATCAGTCCATCAATCAATCAACAAACAAACAAACCAATCAAATGAAAAGTGGTGGTATCATTTTTTTGTCCAGGTGTCCTTACTTGTTGGTCATAATTCACCAGCTAAAGGCTCAGGGCATACTTGGACAATACTTGCATGGCATTTTTAGCTTTTAGCTTCTTCTGTCTCTAGCATACTTCTGCAATTTAATCTGGATTACAGAATGGTTTCCTATTGCTGTGTTGCTATTTTTAACTTCAATATTATCTGATAAATAGAGATAGATAAAAAGTATTGTAAAGAGATACCCAGATTGTGATGAGAAAACTCAGGATGATTAATCTGACTCATATGTGGCTGAAGACGAAAGCATCTGGAAAACGGGTTGGGAAACTAAAAGTCTGAAGGTTATGTAATGAATGCTGGGAAATAATCTTTGGCAATGTTTTTGTTTTTCAGGTACCTGTTAAAAATGGTCTCCCTTTTGTTTGGAACTTTTTATGATGGACGAGTTCTCTTTACCTTTTTAACTCTATATTCTTTTCGGATCATTAAGATGGGGAGGGGGCTTCATGATCAGAAATTCAGCAATGAATTAAAGAGGACACCACAAAACATCTGGATGCTTGAAAGACATCACATGATGCTCCTCAATACCAGCTGTGATTTTCACACAACATAGAGTACATTGAACTGCTACTTCAATGCTGCTGAGGGAATATACTAGGGATTTGGCTAGCTAGATATACCAATATCAGTAGTGTGAGAACAGACAGTTTTTAATTTTTTGATTGAAAAAAACTAAATTACATTTAATATAGCTTACCTTCATATGCCAAAAATCCCATGCCTCCTGTGAGCATAACCAAATATATTATGAATACAGACCAAACACAGCATCTGCAAGTCTTTTTTTTATTTTGTGGTTCTAAAATTTGGGGAAAAACAAAATATACAGAGTAAGTCCATCATTTGGCTCTACAAGTGACTGAAACTACCATTATTGGTCAAATAATGATAGTTTCAGACCATAATAATCTTCTACACAAAATGTTATAAAACATGGATCCTACTGAATAGCAGGATTAAAACATTAAAACTTCATTGGTATGTTTAACAGAGAGTTAATTGCTTAATTTCTAGACAAAAGGCAGTGTAAACTAGAATAGAATAGAATTCTTTATTGGCCAAGTGTGATTGGACACACAAGGAATTTGTCTTGGTGCAAATGCTTTCAGTGTACATAAAATAAAAGATACATTTGTCAAGAGTCAAGAATCATCAGGTACAACACTAAATAATAGTCATAGGATACAATAAGCAATCAAATCATACTAGGAAATAATCATAAGGATACAAGTGACAAAGTTACAGTCATACAGTCACAAATGGGAGAGGATGGGTGATAAGGAGTGATTAATAGTAATAGTAGTGCAGACTTTGTAAATAGTTGGACAGTGCTGAGGGAATTATTTGTTTAGCAGGGTGATCTTGTTCAGGAAAAAACTGTCCTTGTCTCTAGTTGTTCTGGTGTGCAGTGCTCTATAGCATCATTTTGAGGGTAAGAGTTGAAACAGTTTATGTCCGGGATGTGAGGCGTCTAAATATTTTCACAGCCCTCTTTTTGACTCGTGCAGTATACAGGTCCTCAACTGAAGGCAGGTTGGTAGTAATTGTTTTTTCTACAGTCCTAATTATCCTCTGAAGTCTGTGTCTGTCTTGTTGGGTTGCAGAACCAAATCAGACAGTTATAGAGGTGCAGATGACAGACTCAATAATTTCTCTGTAGAACTGTATCAGCAGCTCCTTGGGCAGTTTGAGCTTTCTGAATTGGTGCAGAAAGAACATTCTTTGTTGTGCTTTTTTGATGATGTTTTTGATGTTAGGTGTCCATTTTAGGTCTTGTGATATGATAGAACCTAGAAATTTGAAGGTCTCTACTGTTGATAATTGTAAGAGGTGGTAGTATGGGAGGGTTTCTCCTGAAGTCTACCACCATTTCTATGGTTTTGAGTCTGTTCAGTTCAGATTGTTCCGTTTACACCATGAGGCAAGTTGTACAACATCCTGTCTGGATTCGTCATTGTCTCGAATGAGACCAATCACTATTGTGTCATCTGCAAGCTTCAGTATTTTAATAGATGGATCATTTGAGATACAGTCATTGGTATACAGGGAGAAAAGAAGTGGAGAAAGCACACAGCCTTGAGGGGCCTCTGTGCTAATTGTACAGGTATCAGATGTGATTCTGCCTAGCTTCACCTGCTGCTTCCTGTCTGTTAGGAAGCTTATGATCCACTTACAAGTGTGTTCAGTAGGGGTGGGTTTCTACCAGTTCTGTCGACCTCTGTAGAACCGGTAGCTCTGAAGAGCAGCAGAGATAGAACCAATTCTATGTCTGCTGATGTTTTTGCCCACCCGTCCACCCGGGCTCTTACCTGACCTTTATTTCCTGATTTTTTCAAATTCAGCTGCTGTGCGAGGTGCACAGTTAAAAAATAGGAAAAAAGGGCTTTTTGAAAGGCTGCTTCTCTGCACACAGCATGCTGATGACGATTTACAGGTGCGCACCAGCCGTGTGCAGGGAAGCACATCGTAAATCACCAAACCTCGTAAATGACCGAACTGGTAGTTAACGCTGTCGGATGTTGTTGGTATTCAGGTACCACTAGTTGGTTTAATTTACTTAGAAGAATGTCTGGAATGATGGTATTGAATGCTGAACTGAAGTCTACAAAGAGGACCCTTGCGTAGGTATTTGGAGAATCAAGGTGTTGAAGGATATAGTGCAGAATCATATTAACAGCATCATCTGTCGATCTATTTGCTCGGTATGCAAACTGCATGGGATCTAACAGCAGATCTGTGATATTTTTCAGGTGGGACAGCACTAGCCTTTCAAAGGTTTTCATAACTACAGATGTTACAGCAACTGGTCTGTAGTCATTCAGTTCCGTGATGGAGGGGGTTTTTGGCACTGGGATGATGATAGAGCATTTGAAGCAAGAAGGAACATAGCACATCTCTTAAGATTTATTGAAGATTCGGGTGAAGAAAGGGGGCAATTGGTCAGCACAGACTTTTAAGCAACTATGGTGTAGGTATAAACTATTTAAGCTTATTTGGAAGTATATTTGATTATTCAAATTTCTAAAGACATCTTCTGAGACCTACAATCAACAAATGACAATCTCCCAAGAACTCACGTCTTACTACTAATTTTCACTGTCTTTTACTATAAAAGTTTTGTAACTTAGCGACATACAAGTCAATCAATAGAAAAGTGAACCAAACTAAGCAATATAATTTTGCTTCTTAGGATATTTTGACATGACCTGTGACAACAACCAGCTGAATAAATGTTGAAAAATCTGACAAATTTGATATAGGGGCACAGCACGCTGAACAATTCTGAGGAAATCAGTTCTTGCACCCATGTCCATTTGAAAAGTCCTAATGACAGAATCTCACTTTGAAGGGACAACAACCCCCATCAGTAAAATTTGTGTGTATTTTCTCACAAAACTCTTTCCTTGTCACTACAAATAGTTATAATGAAAACCTTGCCTGTGTGAAAAACAGCACTTAGTGTGCCATAGCACTTTATGAAAGGCAATTTTAAATTCATCCTTGATTAATATTTAATGAGATTTCTGCTGATTCCTCTGAGAATATCTTTTAGCAAATGAGATGGTTCAACAGCACATTTCATTTATCTCTTTTCTCTGTGAAATTCGCAGAACTGAAAAGATGACCAATATTCTTATCGACATGGTGTTCAAAGTACATATGTATGTCCAAAAAAAAAAAAAAGTCAGGTTGATGGTTGCAACTATGCACCTGAAGCCCCACTGTTATGCATATGCATAGTAGTCCAGGCACATACAAAAGGATGGCAACTTCAATTAGCAGACATAATCCCCATTTTGACTTTTTTGTATGGTAATGTGCAAAAGTGGTTTGTCATTGCTATCTTCCAGGACATATTTTTAATGCCTATTCTAGTCATTAGCTTTGGACATCTCAGTGGTCTCAATCTAAGTCATAACCAGGACCTATCCTGCTGGGTTTCTGATTTCTGGTTCCTCAACTAAATTCTGGAGAAAAAGTATTCATCCGTGTGTGTGCTCTTCCATGCTACTGAATGAATAGTCTTCCTTAGAAACCACTTATGCATATCCCAAAGGTGCTTTTCAAAATGGCTACTGGACTTCCTTGGGGTCTCCCCCCGCCCCTTTCAAGAGGTTTTGCTTCTCCTGCAAGAAGCTTCTTCAGTTCTGATTCTTTAGAACTTTAGATTCTAAAAACTTTCAAATTCTAAAATTCTATAAAGGTGGACCGGTTGCTTTTGTGGTGTGGAGACAACAACTTGGTCCTCAACACCAATAAGACCAAGGAGCTTATAGTGGATTATAGAAGCAACAGATCAGACATCCAGTCCTTGCTTATCAATGGAGACCGAGTGGAGCAAGTGGCCAGTTTTAAGTTTCCGGGTGTTACCCTAAAAGAGGACCTGACCTGGGGTGCTCACATTGCAGACCTGGTCAAACGGGCCCAGCAGAGATTATATTACCTGAGACTTCTCAGAAATCAACAACCAAATGAAAAACTGCTGCTGACCTTCTACCGCTGCACCATAGAGAGTATTTTAACTTAATGCACCTCTGTGTGGTTTGCCAATTGCACAGTGGCAGATAGGAAAGCACTTCAGAGGGTTAATGTCATTGTCCAGAAGATCATTGGTTGCCCTCTCCCCTCTTTGGAAGAGCTTTATAGCTCCTGCTGCCTTACGAAAGTTCAAAACATTCTCAAAGATCCATCTCATCCTGGGAACCTTTTTTTTGGAACTATTACCATCTGGCAGTTGGTACAGAATAATAAAAACAAGGACAAATAGGATGAAAAACAGCTTCTATCCCAGGGCAGTAGCTCTTTTGAATTCTGCTGTATAGTGCAGTGTTGGTGCGGTTTCAGGGGTTTTCGGTTCAATGTGTGGAGGGATGAAGGATGTGTGTTTATGTTTATTTTCATGGTCATGATGTGCACTGAAGATGGTGTTTGATTTCATTGTACAAGGTGCAATGACAATAAACCAAAGTAAAGTAAAGTAAACTAAACTTTAGATTCTTTAGAAAGCAAAATGTTTTCAAGGAAAATAGAATAAGAAAATCCAGTTTCCTTTTGGAAAAGCACCTGGGGACAATCATGACCTGGATGATTGAGAATCTCTATTATGCATGTATACAGGTATTTGCATAGACACAAACCCATCACATATATGCCATGAACAAGACTTCAATCCAAATTTAGGAATATAATCTTGGTCATGAAATTCCATCCCACCCTTCCATATTTTTATGTCACTGCCATAAAATAATGCCCTTTAATGCAATAACAAATGAATTCCATTTATAAAAGACAAATTTGTACTAATCGCACAAATTCTCACTTAGAATTCGCACAAATTCTTAGATATTTTGATCTAAGCATACATGATCATCAAATAGTAAAAAAATACTTTACCACTAATTTGAAATGATGTGATTCCAGAAGATGCAAAAGTCATCTTATCTGACAGTGAGAATATTTTGTTGTCATCCTCAGAAAAGTTATTGAAGTTCTCCATGATCAAAGTTTTACTGTAAACTGCAATCCTATCAGGATTAATTTACTAGTTTTATCTCCTGGAAATACATCTTATTACAAGAACTCTTGCCATTGGCTGGATTTTATTTTTTACTAGACTTGCAAAAAAGAAAAGAAAAAAAAAATCCCTGGCACAGTGCCTTTTGCACTTCCTCCAAAAAATGTCCGAGCATGGGCTGGTGAATATACCCTTTGGTATTAAAGATTAAAAGGTAGAGCTTAAAAACTAAAATCCTTCTTCTGAAATGTGACTCTTGTCATCTGCACAATGATTTTGAAATCTTGAAATCTCTTTGTCCCCTCATGCTTACGTAAAGGCATGTCTATACGTTTAACTCAGCATTGTTTTATGAATAGGAGTGATTGCAGCAACGAATGGACTGTAACTGTCATTGTGCAATGAGAGAACTGCGGGAAGAGAAATGCTGAAGCGGTGGGAAATTGGGGTGGAGGGCTTGCACAAGAAGAAAAGGTATTAATAGCTCAGTCTAGAACTTCTCCCTGGTCCCATGAGCACCTTGAGAGAGAGGCGGGACAAATCAAAATAGAGGAAATTAAAAAAAAATAGCTAAGCCACCAATAGAAACAATGACACTCCAAACCATATCATGATGCAAATTACTGTAACAAAATGTTGAGGAAAGCGATAAGGAAAGACCAAGAATAGGAATGTAGCAGTGAGTTTGCATCATGACTAATATAGACCTGCGGTTAGGAGAGAATATACTTTACTATTGGCTAAAAAGAATTAGCCAATATTGAATACGCAGAGGCTATATACATTCCCCCGCCCACTCTCGAATAATATTGAAGTTTCTTTGGCTGATGGTTTTGTTTCTATGAGAGCATGCCAGGAATCCCAATTTTTTTATGGGGCTGAAAATTCTTCAGAAGCAGGGCTGTTCAAATTGTGTTTTGTAGCAAATGCAACATTAGAACATCAGGGAGGTATTTCACTTTTTCGGCCTCCTCTGCTTAGCACAGGGGTGTCAAACTCATGGCATCACGTTGTCATCACGTGACATATTGGGACTTTCCCCCCCCTTCGCTACATCAGGGGTGGGCGTGGCCAGCGCATGCAAGTTGCGAGTTTGGCCTTGGAGTTGCAAGTTTGACACCCCTGGCTAAGCACAACTAACTAATTAACTAAGTTCCTTATCAAACAGACGCTATGCCCTCATTAGTCCAGATAGATCAGAGGTCTCCAACCCCTGGTTCAGTCTGGTACCGGTCTGTGGCCTGTTAGGAACTGGGATGCTCAAGTGGTGGGTGAGCATGCAAAGCTCCACCTGTGCATGCCGCTACACATTGCAAAACCATCCCCTCCCCTCCCTGCCATCGCCACTGCCCGCCACCACCAGTTCGCAAATCTGGAAAGGTTGGGGATTGCTGAGCTGGATAATATTAATCTTAATCTACTGTGAATAGAGTCACAAAAGCCTTCCTTTCAGTGATTGTATTCTCTTATTTTAGTTTTGATAGGTACCTCCATCCTCTGCCATATCATATTCTATACAGTATTCCTGGTATATTTGCAAAGTATTCTTCAGTTGTACCCTGAGCAGTTTTGCATTTTCCCATCATAACAATAGGAATAAAATGAAATTTCCTTCCACTACATACTGTTGTATGTGTTAACGTATTAGGAACAAGCCCATTTATCAGAGAAAAACAACTCCAGAAAATGGCCTTAATTCAGTAAGCATGTTAAATACATTATGCAAACCCCACACATATCAAGTTGCATATTAGTGCATACTACTAGATTTTTATCTAGTTCCACTACTCAAAGTTTATGAGGAATGACCATTATCTTGATATAAACAATTGCAGTATCATCACAGAATAGCTTACTTGATGAAGAGAGCATTCTGGACCTTTGAAGGAGAAAGTCAGTTAAACTATTTTGGGGGAAAAACCTACCAGTATGATTTTTTCAAGGCACTTGGCCAACAAGCAAAAGGCAATCACTTGGTCTACCTCAGTGGACAGCCATTTCAAATTTAGAGGGAAATGCGGTTGTAAAGAAGTTTGAGATTTTTAAGTAATTGATTAACATTATTTTGTACTCCAATGTATCAGGACAAGAGGAAAGGAAGGTAATAATGTAGTCTCTTCCCGCCTTATGATTCTGTAACTTTGAAACAACGTTATTTTCATTGGCTGTATTCCTCATTTATTTTTGTTTCATTTCAACCTACTTCACAGGTGAACTTGTGACTTGTTAAAAATCAGAATTGGGTACAGAATCCTAATTATCAAATTATTTACCATTGTCAACCACATGTAAGGGCAATTGGTCCTAGTGTTGATATGATAAATTGCTCTGTTATTTTGCTATTTTCTGACTTGAACATGCTAATTCTTCTGTGGAATGCTAACTAAAGAACAGCTAAGTGTCTTGTTAGCTACACTTCTCAATGTACATGCGTAATATATCCTGATTCCAATTGCCAATGCTACAGCAGAAACAGAGCCATCACTGCTACCCAAGAAGATCAAGATCAAGCATGTATGAAGTATATCCATGCCAGTCTTGAGGTTTAAATCTGGACCACAGTGATTTCTCAGAATACACACAACATCTAATAAAATATATCTTGGTATACAGACTCCCTTCTTATTCATCCTGACTGATTCCATGCCTACTTGGCAGTTAGCTACAATAAGCTCGAATTGTGTGTGCTTTGTATGCATATGTGTTTTTCAGGTAAAAATAAAAAGAAAGAGAAAAGAAGAAAGAAAGAAAGAAAGAAAGAAAGAAAGAAAGAAAGAAAGAAAG